CGCCACTCGGCAGGCCCTAAATCAGTTTCTTAATCATAAACAATAGATTGTTTTTCATCTGAATCATAGAAATCTCCTACCTCTACTTCAGATAACTACTTAAAAGCCTGTGACTTCCCAACATCCCCCGAGCTATTCCAGACTTAACTAACTCTTGAATAATTCCCTCCCAGAAACTAAATAAGTTTTAACATTTCCTCAGGCCAGTAAGGCTGATTCTTTCCAAACCCATTCTGGGCCTAGCTCCTGGACAATTGACACCACCTGAGTGACTGGTGAATGACCATAGGCTCTACAAGAGCTAACGGATTTATTAATTAAAATCTATTTTTCCTCATTCAGGGGCCTTAGGGATATGGATGATACCCCAACAAGATTGCCAGTCGCAACCAAAGAAGCCAACACAGTCTTCCAGGTGGATCTCGAGACCCCTTCCTCTCATCTGAGATCAGATAGGGTGAGAGTTCCATGAATCCCCCAAATAGGCAGGGACAGCTCTACGCCCTTGTCCAGCAGGAAGTAGATATAGAAGAAAAGACCTCCTGTCCCTCAACTTCCCAGAGATTTTATGGGGATCACATCTCTCAAGGGGAAAGCAAGGCAGGAAGTTAGGCATTGGGTCTCTGCATTCCTGCACATCCAACACAACCCACAGAATGTGACCGCCCAAAAGACCTCCCCTTCTCCACTCAAAACTTCCCGTTTTCATTGTAATTATCTACCCCTGTGGGGAAACACGGGTACAAAATACCCGACTGGATTAAACCAGTCACTGGCACCTGCACAATCTAAAAAGATGAGGTAATAACCTCTTGTCAATCACAGATGTCCATCATGTGGTCCCACACCCAGGGAGAAATAGCCCATTCTAGAGAAAAAGGGATAAAAACTCTAAGTCCTGGCCAGTCAGCGCCTTTTGAGCTTCTTTTGCTCGGCCCGCTCCAAACTCTTTGGAGTGTAATTTCTCTTCTAATAATGGGCCCTTGAACCATTCTCTACTGAAGTGTACTATCTCTTCTAATAAATTGCTTTTTCACTACTTTGCCTCGGTATCTCGTTCAATTCTTTGCTCAAGACGCCAAGAACCTGGAAATTGTGCCGAGGAGGGCCCACTCTCCGGCAACAGTAAGTACATATATGTTGTATCTGATAATTCTTGTAAGAATGAGTTTCTACTGATCTCCATCTACAAGTATTATTCCTCCTTTATATCATCGTATGTCTCAGACTGCAAAACATCCAGGGAAAGAACTTTACATGCCATAATCACCCCACATGATCTCCAGACGCATCTAATAAGTACTTTCTTCAAAGGCAGTACTTACATCTGTGTAGTACTTTCACCTTCTGAAAACATTTTAGTAGTATTCTCCACCCAGACTGATTCTCACAACAGTGCCTCCATCTTGGAGAGGAAACTTCAGAGGGCTAGGGTTGATCTAATGCCTCCGAGCTATGGCATGTCTCAAAATGGCACACTTCCACCGCACGCCTCCACCGCACACTTCCTGCCACAGGGCCTTGGGGTGGCACGAATGGTTCACCATTCCAGGGAGAAGGAAGGACCGGGACCAGGAATGACAAAGACTGATTGATAGAGATTCCCAGAGCACAGTGTGCAGGCGATGGCTAGGCCTCCACCAGGACAGGTCGATTAGTAACGCCTGTGCATGGTCATGGGTGATGGAGTGTTCACCAACACCAACCTGATTGTGGTTCTTATCCTGCCTTTCCCAGGGCAGGTAATGAAGAGTTGAGGCTGAGAGGCACAGGCCCTTCCTGGCAATGACTCCGGCTGCCTGACACCAAGCTGTAAGCAGAGCAATACCACAGGCTCTGCCCACAGAGAAAGACTGTGGTCCAGGTCCCTCTTCCTTTCCAACTCCAAAAGCAGTTTTAGATCATAAAACACTGTCCAACAGAAGGGCTCAAAGGCCCAGAACATGTACTCACCAGCAACAGGGCTTCCAGCTGGTTAATGTAGATCTCTTCGCTGGCCAGGAACCCCGAGAGAACCAGCTTCCTCATCTCCAGGCCTTTCCCAGCTTCCACCTGTACAAACCACAAGCCAACAGCTCATGAGAAACGAGGCCAGAATCCCGAGTGGCCCGCTTCCTTGTCATTTGTCTCTTCTTTAACGCACACTTTTGTTGGAGATAAAAGCCAAATATACCTAGTAGAGAAAACTGGGCAAATACAGAAATATAAAAGGGAAAGACAACCACCCATATTCCTACTGCTAACATCTTGCTTTTTCTCTCCCAACCTTTTTTCCACATTTCCTTATTTTACACCCATCCATCCACCCACCTATTCAACCTTATAATCAGCAAGATAACCAAGGACCTGGCCTCATGTCTGGGGGCAATTTAATGGGGGGACATCGTTAAGAAGGGACATCAGAGGAAGGACTGAGGCAGAGCATGGGTCACGTAGGCAGGCACAGCAGGGGCTGGAGGAGGCTCCCAGAGGAAGGGACTATACACTGCGCGTAGCGGGTGGAGAGAATGGGATGAAAGTGGTCATAGGAACCCCAGCTGTGTGGCCTTCTAGCTAAACCTCTGACTCTTATCTTCCGGTCCCCGGGGGCAAACTCCCACAACAAAAGGTGTTAACTGTGGGGCTCTCAACCTTTATCCCTCGCACCCCACCCCCACCACACCTCCCCGCATTTCCTGACTGCCTCCTTGTGTAAGGCACTGACCCCAAGCGGCCTCCCCACCCTCCACTCCTCTCTGGTAAAGATCAAACTTCATTTAGCCTTGAAGGCCCATCTTGCTAATCTCTCACCAAGATGCTCTCCTTCGGTCCCACACCTCCCCCTGCTGTGGTCCAGACCCAGGGGCACCCTGCTCTGCCCCACCCCCATTCTTCTAACAGATCTCTACCTCTCTTCTCCCTCCTCAGCTCCACACACCAGAGCCAGATCAAATCTTTTGAGATCGCCACCTTCCACCCGATGCTTGCCAGGCACGTAATATCAATACAGCAAAATGTGATTATCTGGAGATCTGGTTAGGTTATGCGTCCATGTATTTATCCATTCAACACATATTTACTGAATGCCCACCAGACCCTGCACACACAGCAGGAAACAAGTATACAGTAGCCCCTACTCTCATGTGGCTTATATTCTAGTGGGACAAAAAGACGTTAAAAAAAGAAGTAAATACAAACATAAACGGTGATATGGGGTCCAGCTTAGCCTTTAAACACCTTTAGTGGCTCCTAGCGCCGCTCCCTATCCTTGTACCTCTCCCACAGTCATCAGATCTCTGTCTTCCCAACATGCCAGGAGCGTTCTCCCCTCTGAACTTTGGTTCTTGTTACCCCTGCTGCCTAAAAGTGCCTTTTCCTACCCCAGCTTTTCTCTTGTCTGAATCCCACCTCTCCTTAAGGCACAGCTGACGTCTCTTCTCTGGCCCGCAGCGGCCGCTGTCATGTCGGAATCTGCGGCACTGACCCTCCACCCTGACCCGTGCCCCATCCGGTTACCTGCCCTGTGATTTCCCATGGCCTTTGAAGCACCTGCATCAGCCTCCTATGTACTTTCCTGAAGCTCAGCACCACGTGATACCCCTAACATGTGGACACCTAACATTTACTGAGCCTTATAAGTCCTCCCCACTCTCTCATTTAGCCCTCAAATGCCTCACTAAGGTGGGTACAATATTTTTCCATTATACAAATGGAAACAAACAAGGCTTAAAAGAGAGAAGAGATTCGCCTAAGGTCACACAGCCAGGAAGTGGCAGAGCTGGGATTCCACCCCAGTCCTTGAACACCAAATTCCATGCGCTTCCACTGCTCTGGTAATTCCCTTACTCTCACGTTCCTTTTTCAAACATCGGCTGCTTACCTGGCGTCTCCNGGACTGGAGTCCCTACCACAGTGGACTGGAGTCCCTACCACAGCGGACTGGAGTCCCTACGACACTGTCCCTTCACTTGAAAAACATTACAATGCATTCCAATAAACTCCCGGAGACATCTACCACAGACTCAGTGTGTTGCAAAGTATCTGCACATTTCAATTGTTATTCTTGGCTAACAAATGTCAAGTACCCTGGGACACTGGGTGACACTACCTCATAATGTTAAGGACCAAGCAAGCAGACCTCCCCCCCACACACACACACACAAACTTTTTAAGTTTTCTTTCCTATAGAAATTTTAAGTCTCCTCCCTAGTTTCTTAGTTCTTTAGCCCCTGGCTTTGATTACTCTTCTAATCAGTTTCTGAATCCTAGACTAAAGATTGCTCCTAGCCTGAACCATAGAAGTCTCCTATTCCTCTGCTTCTTGATTGTTTGTAAATCAGTTTCTTTTTTTTTTTTTATTGGGGAATTGGGGGGAAGGGAACAGTGCTGGGGAATTGGGGGAAGGGGAACAGACAAGTTGCTGTCGTTTTTTTGTTTGTTTGTTTTTGGGTTTTTTTGTTCTTCAGTCTAGTTGTGGAGCACGCTGCTTCACTGGCCTAAGTTGGCACCATCATTGCGCTCCTCCCGGGTGAGGCAGATCAGTCGCCGGCTTCTGGACGGCTGCTCACTGTGGCTGCTGGCCGCTCACACTGGCTGCTGGCTACACACGGGAGCCCATGGCAACCCACTGCCACAGGGGCTGCAGCCTACGC